GATTTATTATTTTTTTATACCCGAGGGAGAGTCCAGTTGCTCTTTTCACACCTTTCTCACCGAACTTCACTTTTGGGGATGTCCCAGCAAGTACCAAAAATACAATTTCCATGCAAGAATCACCAGCCAAATTTTAAATGTTTATTTCTTTTTCTGCTATTTGGCTGAGAAAATGAAGAGCAGCTGGAAATATCTGTTGGAAGTGATCTGACCCCAATTTAGTGCACTACAGTTGGCTTCACTGAACCAAATTACTTGTAAATATGTTTCTATTGCCTCCCTAAGAGCACTAATTTTGCCAAAAAGAAGAAATTTTGGATTTTTAAAATAGTTTTTATACAGCCAATATATAATATTAGTATATTGAATATATTAGATTAATATATTTAATATATAATACATAAAAAAGACATTTTAAATATAAGATTAATATTAGATATTAAGATCATATTTTATAAGATATATTGTAAATTTAATATTCATATTTAATTTATAGTTATATAAATTAAAATATTTTATAAATTTAGTACATTATATATTAGTATATAAAGTATAATATATTTATTGAATATAATTGTAAATTCAATATCTTATATTTTATATATTAATATATAATTACACATAAGTATATTAATATATAATACATAAAAAGATATTTTATATATTAGATTAATATTCGATAATAATATATTACATTTTATAAAAGATATTTAATAAATTTAATACTTATATTTAAATTTAAATTTACATTTACATAAATTAAAATATTTAATAAATTTAATATATTACATATTAAGATATATATAAAATATATTATATTTAATGAATATAATTTAATCAATTTAATATCTTATATTTTATATATATTATTACATAATTATATATTAATATATATAAAATATATTTAATGAATATAATTTTTGTAAATTTAATATCTTATATTTTTATATATAGTAATATATATAATTATCTATTACTGTATTAATATATAAGACATCAAAAAGATATTTTATTTCTTAAATAAAATTTTCTAATGTGGCCGAAACAAGAACTTTTGGAGGGGTTTTCAGTGTTTTAATAGTGTAGAAATCTGCAGAAATATTGCAAAGAGAAGGTAAAACACACTTTGTATCTTCAAGGAGTTCAAGGGTTTTTTTTGTTCATAGAATCCCAGGACGGTTTGGGTTGGAAGGGATTTTAAGGATCATCTCATCCCAGGGACACCTTCCACCAGCCCAGGTTGCTCCAAGTCCTGTGCAACCTTGGACATTTCCAGGAATTCCTGTACAATTAAGGAAAAAACCAAACTAAACCTTAAATTCAATTTATTTTTTAAAATTAAAATAGTGTATCTGTCACAGCACACTGCCAGAATGTGGTTAGGTCTAGAAAATAGATATTTTGGGTCTGGAAAACAAGAGGAGCAGCTGAGGGAGCTGGGGAGGGAATATATAAATATATATGTAAATATATATATAAAAATAAATATAATAAAATATAATTCATTATATAATAAATTATATATTGTTAATATATTATGTAATATAAATTATAATATATAGTATATTATATATTTATGTATTATATATTATATATATTTCATATATATAAATAATATATTAATATATTATATATTATATAATAAATTATGTAATATATTTATTATATAATAAATATAATAAGATATCTAAAAATATATAGTCTTTATATTTTTTATATATAATGTTATATATAATATATAAAATTTATATATATTGGTAAATTACATATTATATAATGAATTATATAACATATTTATTATATAATTTAAGAATTATATATAAATAAATATGGGAAAGGAGGTAGCTTATGTCCCTTGTGTTGAAGGAAGATGGATTTAGAGTTCACCTTTTGGAAAAAAAAAAATTTATGCTCCTTGTTCTTTTATCTTTTGTAGCTTCAGAGGGGTCACATAATTATATGAAAACAAATAATGTTGTCTCAGGTCCTTCTGAATTGTTCCTTCTGTGCTCAACCTTCAAAAGGGAACAGAAATTCCAGGAAAAACAAATTTTCCTTTGTCCATTCACCGCAGTTTTGAAGGCACAGAACATTTGGGGTTGGCAGAGGAACCTTCAGAAAGCTCATTCTGGAGATGTTTGGACAGAACCTGTTACAAACCAAACTCTTCCAGCAGCTCCAGGGGCAGAACAATCCCAGGGCAGGGAGAGCAATCCCAGCTCAGGGAGAGCCCAAACGAGTTGGGCAGGAAGATTCTCCCAGGGCTGGAGCCCCTCTGCTCTGGAGCCGGGCTGGGAGAGCTGGGAATGTCCAGGTTGGAGAAGGGAAGGCTCCAGGGAGAGCTGAGAGCCCCTTCCAGGGCCTAAAGGGGCTCCAGGAGAGCTGGAGAGGGACTGGGGACAAGGGATGGAGGGACAGGACACAGGGAATGGCTTCCCACTGCCAGAGGGCAGGGATAGATGGGATATTGGGAAGGAATTCTTGGCTGGGAGGGTGGGGAGGGGCTGGGATAGAATTCCCAGAGAAGCTGTGGCTGCCCCTGGATCCCTGGAAGTGTCCAAGGCCAGGTTGGACGGGGCTTGGAGCAACCTGGGCTGGTGGAAGGTGTCCCTGCCCATGGCAGGGGGTGGGATGAGATGATCCTTAAGGGCCTTTCCAGCCCAAACCCTGGTGTGGTTCTCTCCCACCTCGGGAAGGGTCTGCAGGAGGCACCTCCCCTGGGACACTAATTCCAAGGCCTGACCAATCCTGCAGGAAAACAAGTGTCCCTGCCCATGGCAGGGGGTTGGAACTGGATGATCTTTAGGGTCCCTTCCAACCCAAACCGTTCTGGGATTCTACGATTCCATGATTTTATGAAATCCACATTCTGGGCTTTCAGCAGGATATGTGGGAAACTGGAGCATCTTGGAGCTGCCAAGTCCAACTGTGCCAAGGTGGGAATCAGGTCTGGTGTTCCTGCAGGTTTAATCACTGGGCTGTTGTGTTGGGGCTGTAATTTCCCTCCAGGTCTGTGGGATTGAAGGAATCCTGGAGGAATCCTGGAGGAATCCACCACCAGCCCTGGCGTGGCAAGCGTAGATAAAGACTTGTCCTCCCTCACCCAGAGCTCCTGGGGACTAAATGTCCTTCAGCTTCCTAAAGCATGAGAGGAAACAGCCTTAAATTGCCCCAGGGCAGGTTCAGATCAGAGACTAGAAACAATTTTTCCCTAAAAAAGGAGTGGTCAGGCCTTGGAATAAGTGTCCCAGGGAGGTGGTGGAGTCCCTGTGTCTGGGAGTGTCCCAGAGGTGTCTGGATGTGGCCCTTGGGGACATGGATTAGGGGTGATTGTGGTGGTGCTGGGTGAGGGTGGCACTGGATATTGAAGGTCTCTTCCAGCCTTGGTGATCCCGGGATCAGTGTGAGCTCTCCTGGGCTGGGATCAGCAAAATGTCCCCTGAGAGCGTTGACATCACTGGGGATGTAATTTGAAGGCAGGGTTAGATGGGATATTGGGAAGGAATTCCTGGCTGGGAGGGTGGGGAGGCCCTGGGATAGAATTCCCAGAGAAGCTGTGGCTGCCCCTGGATCCCTGGAAGTGTCCAAGGCCAGGTTGGACGGGGCTTGGAGCAACCTGGGCTGGTGGAAGGTGTCCCTGCCCATGGCAGGGGTGGCACTGGATGATCTTTAAGGTCCCTTCCAACCCAACCCATCCTGGATTCTGTGTAAACACCCAGCAGTTCTGTGTCTCCAGTCCCCTACAGGGCCCTGCTCTGAGTAGGAGTTAAAACACAACGGCAGCTTTTCACCAGCTCTGACATTTGCCACCTACAAAACAAGACTTTTCTAACAAGAAACAAGAACTTCTCTATTTCCAACCCGGCATTTCTAAAAGTTCTCACCCCCTGGCAATGCTTAAGTTCCAATCCTGGTTCTCCATCCCAAGAAAACCAGTGGTTGTTGCAGTGCCAGAGGCAGAAGGCACAGGGAGTTGTCCGAGGAGGTTCCTCCAGGTTTCTAGGGAGAACCAGAAGGTTTAGGAAGCCCCTTCCATGCATCCCTCGAGCTCTTTCCTGCTCCAGCACAGGCACTTGTTTCCAGCCATCGAGCTCTTTGTGAAGGTGAGCCCTGTACAGCTAAATCTTTGCTCATTGAGGAATTTTTGGAATATTTGAGATTCCTTTGACAGCACTGAGGGAGGTGAAATGACAGGCAGAGCTGGTTTCATTCGTGTGTCTTCTTGGCTTATGAGGGCTGCAAACCTTAATGGATTAACCTATTAACTGAATAAATGATACACTTGGGGGTTTTTATGCTTCTACCCCTTACATTTAATCTAAATTTTAAAGCTGGGCTTCAGGGGAATCGTGTGAAGGGCTTAAAAATTAGACCCTCATCTCTTCCAACAAGTGAAGCCTCACTCAGGCAGCAGCAACTCTGCAAGACTTTGCCTCATTTTAACAAACCCTTTAAACAAACCCTTCAATAAAATCCAACACATGAGAGCAACACTTCTGTGGCCACACAGAGTTTCTCCTCTTCCTCCCCTCCTTCTCCAGGGCTCCCACGGTCCTTTATTTTGAAATTCTTAATGAACTGCTTTATTCTGTTGCAGTGCTTTAGACATTCCACCTCAAATTTAGGCCGGTAAATCTTTGTTTCCCGTGACCATAAACTGATTTAATTCCTCGCAGTGACGTGGGTGGGTTTATGTTCAGGCAGAAAAATGAGGTGGAGGCTGTTTCCTCCGGGAGGGCTGCTTTGATTTCCCTTTTGTTTCCCAACTTGTGGCACATCCATCGTGCTTTTGAATGGAAAACAAGATCTTTTAGAGGACAAGGTTCCTCCTCATCTCTCTGTGCGTGTCTGGAGAAGGACAGAAAGACATTTTGCATGAAAACTTGTGTTAGTAGAGATGAGTAACGTGCTCTGTGCACTCACAGATCCGGGTTTTCTGCTTCCCTGCCATCAAAATTTGTTATCATCACCTACAGAACTCTTTATTTTTCCAACTCCAGGCTGGCAGTGATGGGGAAAGCATTGGAAACTGCCCCTTCTCGCAGCGTCTCTTCATGATCCTGTGGCTCAAAGGGGTCATATTCAACGTCACCACCGTGGATTTGAAAAGGTGAGGTCGTGACTCTCGAGTTGAACTTCTGGGATTTGAACTTTTCACAACAACTCTTCCAAAAAACACCGGGGATTTTAAAGGGCTGCTCCTTTCTGCCGGGCTGGGAGAGCTGGGGGTGTTCAGCTTGTGGAAGGGAAGGCTCTGGGGAGACTTCAGAGGTCTTTCCAGTTCTTAAAAGAGGTTATAAAAAGAGGGACTTTTTATATGGGCAGAGACAAGGGGGGGTGGCCTTGAGCTGAAGGAGGGCAGGGATAGATGGGATATTGGGAAGGAATTCCTGGCTGGGAGGGTGGGGAGGCCCTGGCACAGGTTGCCCAGAGAAGCTGTGGCTGCCCCTGGATCCCTGGAAGTGTCCAAGGCCAGGTTGGATGGGTCCCTGCCCCTGGTAGGGGGTGGAACTGGATGATCTTCCAGCTTCTTTCCAGCCCAAACCATCCCGTGATTCTTTGATTTTAAATGTTGGTTCGTGGCACTTCAGTGCAGAAATTGCAGCTCTGGTTCCTGGTGGGATTAACCCCTTCTCTTCCCCTTCCCAGAAAACCTGCAGACCTGCAGAACCTGGCCCCGGGCACCAACCCCCCCTTCATGACCTTCGACGGCGAAGTGAAAACCGACGTCAACAAGATCGAGGAATTCTTGGAAGAGAAGCTGGTGCCGCCCCGGTACCGTGTCCCTGGTCCCCTCAGGGCCCTCCACGGGGCTCTGTGACCAAACCCCCTCGGTTTTGGGGGGTCAGGCCCTCAGGGAGCTGCACGTGTGTGTGTGGGAGGCTGGAAGGGGCTGGTTTGGGTGACAGGGAGAGGGGCAACTTTGTCTGGTGTGGAACAGAGCTGAAGCCAGGGGGGTGTCCCTGGGGTGTCCCAAGGGACAGGACAAGAGGAAACGACCTTAAATTGCACCAAGGCAGGTTCAGATCAGAGATCAGAAACGATTTTTCCCTGCAGGAGTGGTCAGGCCTTGGAATAAGTGTCCCAGGGAGGTGATGGAGTCCCTGTGTCTGGGAGTGTTCCAGAGGCGTCTGGAGACACGGATTAGGGGTGATCCTGGTGGTGCTGGGGTGGGACTGGATGATCCTGGAGGTCTCTGCCAGCCTTGATGGTTCTGGAATTCTCTGAGCAAAGAGCAGCGAACGCCTCCCACGCACTGGACACATTTTGAGTGTCCAGGTGGGCCCATCTTGCTGCACAGGAGGGTCTTTGAGGTTTTGATCTGTCCTTCCCCACCCCAGCAGCTCTTCCCAAACCCTGCTGCCCCTCCACCAGCAGCACTGTGTCCCTGCCCACACACCTTTTCTCCCAGGGCTTAAAACAAGGGATTTTTAGTTTAGGGTGGTTCTCTTTGAGCGCTGCGTGGTCACCCCGGAGTGTAAATAAATGGGTGTTAATTAGTGGAGCTGAAAGCAAAGGCTAATTATCCAACTCTGTCTGTTTTAACCCCTCAGGTATCCCAAACTTGCCCCCAAGCACCCCGAGTCCAACTCTGCGGGAAATGACGTGTTTGCCAAGTTCTCTGCGTTTATAAAGAACCCCAGAAAAGATGCAAATGAAAGTAAGTGCTGCAGTGGGAGAGGGGAACCAGAGCTGTGCAATTCTAGGACACTGTGCTGGAGGTGTCCCACTTCCAGCTCAGCGATTTTCCAGAGGAAAATCTATGGGAATCTGTGCCTTAGCTGAGGATTCCCAAGGCTGGTTAAAGCAGATAGAGCTGTAACCATGGGAGCACCAATTCCAGCCTCTCCTCGTTCCTTCAGCTCCCAGGTAATGCTGGAGCAGCCTCACAGCTTTGCCAAAAGCACAGGCTCCCTGGAACCATTTCCATTAAAAATGAGAATTCCAGAGGCTGTGGGAATCTGTGCCTTAACTGAGGATTCCCAAGGCTGGTTAAAGCAGATAGAGCCGTAACCATGGGAGCACCAATTCCAGCCTCTCCTCGTTCCTTCAGCTCCCAGGTAATGCTGGAGCAGCCTCACAGCTTTGCCAGAAGCACAGGTCCCCTGGAACCATATCCATTAAAAATGAGGATTCCAGCCCCAGGTCTCTAAAGCAGGACCCTCACGACCACCACACGTGGCCTTAAGCTGGAGGAGGGCAGGGTTAGATTGGATATTAGGGAGAAATTCTTCCCTGGGAGGAGTGTGAGGCCCTGGCACAGGTTGGTTGTGGTCTCCCCATCCCTGGAAGTGTTCAAGGCCAGGTTGGAGCAACCAGGTCTAGTTTAAGATGTCCCTGCCCACGGCACGGGGTTGGAACACACGAACTTTTCAGATCCTTTCCAACCCAAACCATTCTGGGATTCTCTCTCTCCATGCTCCCGCTCTCAGGCCTGTTCCCTGGGCTGGTTTTTGAACACCCCAAAGTGGCATCCTGGTGGCTTCCTGTCCTTCCCACGGGCCAGCACTGGCCCCGTGGCTCCCGAGGCAGGAGCCAGCGTGAAGGCAGAGCCAAATCCCGCTCCACGGCGGGGCTGGAGGAGCCATTCCTGGTAACTCAGCCCCGCGCTGGCTTTTCTCAGATCTCCCCCCTGAGCTCTTTAGAGCTCTTATCCCAGCATTAAGTGTTAAGCTCGGGATAAAGGAATTGCAGGCGTTGGCAGGGCCAGCTGCCCTCGAGCTGGGTGGGTGCCAGGAGACAGGATGCAGGAGGCGCCTTTCTGCTCCGTGTCAGCGAGACCTTGGTACGGGCTCGACTGATCTTTTGATTGTCTTTGCCCAGATTTGGAAAAGTCTCTGCTGAAAGCCCTGAGGAAGCTGGACAACTATTTAAACAGCCCCCTGCCTGATGAAATCGATGCTTACAGCACGGAGGAGATCACCGTTTCCAGCCGGAAATTCCTGGATGGAGATGAGCTCACTTTAGCCGATTGCAACCTCCTACCAAAGCTCCACATAATCAAGGTTTGCATTTGCCTTTTTAGCTCCCTGCACGGCAGCTTCAGTCCTTTTCTGGAAGGCAGAGGGATCCCTTCTCTGTTCCAAGGCCACCCAGGAGCTGTGCAGGGACACTGAAGCCGTTTCCTCACAGGCAGATCCTCACATGGATGACTTTGGATCTGGAATCCCTGTTTTCCTGTCACTGAGCTGCTCACAAGGGTGAAATGAGTGTGGGATTCAGGGTTGCAGAGAAATGTTCTCGTTTGCATTTCATACACAAAGTGCACGTGACCACGGCCAAGGAAGGCTATGTTGTATTGTCCATTCCAATTCCCGCCTCTCCCTCGTTTAATCCCAAACTCTGGCTTTGCTGAGCATCCCCACATGGACCAGTCAGGCTGACAGGGTGGCCACCACCCACTGCCTCCCAGCCAAGGCTCCCAACCTCTTCTTGTAGCACTGTGGAGCACCCACACACCCCAAAGAGTCCCTGTGACCTGGGACTGGTGTTGGCAAAGCCCATCCCTGGGTTATTCCAAAAAGCTGGAGAGGGACTTTTCACAAGGGCAGGGAGTGACAGGAGAAGGGGGAATGGCTTCAAATTGAAAAATAGCAGGGTTAGATGGGATATTGGGAAGGAATTGTGGGAGGGTGGGGAGGGGCTGGGACAGAATTCCCAGAGAAGCTGTGGCTGCCCCTGGATCCCTGGAAGTGTCCAAGGCCAGGTTGGACGGGGCTTGGAGCAACCTGGGCTGGTGGAAGGTGTCCCTGCCCATGGCAAAAACTGGATGGTCTTTAAGGTCCCTTCCAACCCAAACCTTCTGTGATTCTGTGATTCCTCTCTGGGCTCTAGAAGAGAAACGACCACACAGGACTTTCCCTGGTTTTCAGACAAACAAGGTCACCTTGGGAAACTTCCTTCCAGGCTCCTGTTCCGTCACAGGAAGAGTGGATCCAAGAGTGGATCCAACGGCTTCCCGACACCTCCACAAGTGAAAACTTTGCCCAGACACCTCCTGGCTGATCCTATTGCAGGGAGCAGCCCTTTCCCACGCCCACGCAGAGCTCAGGCCCAGCAAACCCCGGGGTCAGCACAGGGACAGTCACCTCGGCTCAGGGGCACGTCTGGAGGAGGACGGAGCGGGAATGTCACACTGTCACACCACAGGCAGGGATTAGGGATGGGCCAAGAGTTGTTTTCCCCTAATCATTTGAAATCAAGGATTTCCACTGAAATTTTTCCTCCAGGTGTAGGCCAGTTTATTCCTGTAAGATTATTCTCTTAATCCTGGTTTAAGTTTGCTGGTTTAACCTGTGTCTCTCCCAGGTGTGATTTACTGGTCCACATGGCTTTGCACAACTCTAAAAATATATATATATATATACACCAAATAAACCCTTTGCAAGGAGTTTGCTTGTTCACCAGCTTTCTTCATCCCACCTGTTCCCTGTTTTTTCTGTCCTTTTCCTTTCCCCTTCATCATCAACAACAGACCCACACATTGTAAATTAAGAATGGGCATAAAGAGTAGGTGTGGGGTTTTTTTTGTGGTTTATTTTTTTGGGGTTTTTTGGGATTTTTTTACAGATCATGTGTGTAATGACGTTTTCTTGTTTCCTTTTGTCTTTTTATTAAAAGGTCGTGGCGAAAAAATACCGAAATTTCGATTTCCCCCCTGAGATGACAGGGATTTCCAGATACTTGAACAATGCATATGCAAGAGATGAATTCACAAACACTTGCCCTGCTGATCAAGAGATCGAATATGCCTATTTGGATGTGGCCAAGAGAATGAAGTAACCAGAAGATGCCTCTGTTCCTTGCTCCTGAGAGGGGAAAGCAAAAGCCAGCAGATGTTCTGCGGGGTGATTTTAAGTTCTGCTATGGGCCAATCCTTTTATAATGATTGTATTGCATTGTTTGCTCCTTCTTCAGTTCTCTGTGTGTACGTTGGTGTGTCTTGCACACCCGAGTGTCTCTTGTCCGTTCCAAGGTAAAGGCATCCATCAATATTAAAGATCTGCTGAATTTTGGGAAGCAGTGTAGGTCACACAAACCCACAGGCCAAACGGCTGAATTTGGGGCAGGAACAGCCCTGTTTGGGCCCCACCTTTCACCTGGGGGTGTTGCTGCCCCTGCTCTCTGTCCCGCAGTTGTTGCCACGCTCCACAGTTAAGGAAAGGTTTCTTTGCTCCAGCAGCACCTGACTAAGCCGGGAGAGAGCAGTGGGAGCACACCTGGTGTCCCCAAAGTTTGTCCTCTGTGCCAGAGACCTGCAGGGCAGGTCGACCAAGAACAACCCCTTTTCACCTGGCACGGCTCCTTTCCTTTGGCATGGAAAATAAATAAAGAAGGATTCCTGCCTTCTCCTCTCTCAGGGCTGCATAACCCATCAAACTTCCCCCCTGGTGCTCCCAAAGACAGGAATTCTGGCCTGGGGACTATCTGCTCTTGGATATTTGATGAGGGAGGAGGAGGGAGAGACTTGGTTGTCACTACAGACAGAA